ACTTTTATTTATTAACTGAGACAAGCAGGGGGCAGTTTGATGTGACCTAGATATTAAGAGGCTTTTAATAAATCAGCTTTTAAGAGGCTTTACGTGACCTGGATATTAACTTGTCAAACTGAACTAATCCAATCAAAGAACACGAGACTCCACCTAGCCCGATTAAATTGAAGTCATTGTTCCCTAAAATCACGTACTGCAAGCGTAGTGATCTCGTTCAAGTAATAAAGTAGATTTTTTGAGTTTGAATTATCAATTTTTTGAGAAGTATTTACTTTCGATTACACAGCTTTAATCAATTTAATTTTAATAATAAAAACAAACGCACGATAAGATTTGATTTTGAAAAATAAGAAAAATAAATTAAAAATCTACAAAATTAGCCCCTGTTTGTTGCCAATATTTGAAAAGTTAAAGAGTTTTGAATAGTATTTTTTTAAAAATGTGTGGTTAAAAAATAAATAAACTTTATTAATTTGTGTGTAAAATATTTTATGTTATGAATGTGTAGAAGAGAATGATACTATACCAAACAATTTAGGCTTAGTAAACATAACAGTTGGAAATTTCAAGAGAAAAACGTGGATAAGATTCATAGTTTCACTTATTTGTTGCCTAATTAATTTCTTCACAAACTAATTAACAAATTACACACTTATAATATTAGACCTAAATTTTTCAGTTTAGCTAATTACTCCTCTCTAGGAAAATTAATCCTAATTAATTGGTTTAACATACTATATCTTTATGTTGATTAAAATCAAACCCACATTAATTTTTTTATGAAAAATACATGAATGGATCATCTAAAGTTAGGAGTATATCTCTATTCTCTACAAAAGCCTACGGTTTCTACTATTTGACCTAAAATCCACAATCTTCTCTCAAACAATATACAAATTAGTACAAATAATCATTTATTGGCTACATAAATGAAAATGCAAGAAATACAATGGTAGATTTCGGTGCATTTTAACATTAAAAAGCAAATACTGAACTTAATTAAAGCTAAATTGAACTTCAACAATAAATCCCAACACAAAGAACTAGCCCATTTTATATATATGATAAAAAGTAGAAAAGTTAGATAAATACATTGCAAGTTCAAGAAAATAATGGACAAAATGCAAGATAAAATGTAGAACCCGTCCCTTGGTTGGATTCTTGAAGGAAAGATTAGCTTGATCTTGATTTTTCCCTAAAATCTCCTCTTTCCCTATTGTGTGCCCTTATTCTTAGCATCCAAACGAAAGAAGAATGAAATTAAAAGATAATGATATCCAAGAATGGCTGAATTTTGCCCTAAAAATACCCTAAAACTGTGTCCAAACATTTGCATTTAAACCCTTGATTTTTTTGAAAAGTTGAAAACAGCACCAGAATCTGAACTGACGCCTAGGCGCTAAAGTTTTGTAAAGAAATCGAGAACATGGTGCCTAGGCACTACACTTTCATCCCATATTTGCAACTTAGGTCCGCATGTAATTGTATGTCAAGTCCCTCAACTATAATCTTGTACAATTTGATTCTCAAATTTTGACTTTCAATTCAATCAAGCCTTCATAAAATTACAATCCAATGTCCTTCAACTTTATACCTTGTATACCTTGACCCCTACTTCACAATTTTGTACGCTTTTGATCCCTTTTCACTCCCTTTTGCCTTGTTCTATATTCTTTGAGTGTTTTTTTTTTACCAACAAAAGCAATAATTACATAATTATGAGTAGAAAGTTGTTCCTTTAGGCATTAAAAGCTTGTTTGAGCCCCATTTCATCGTACAAATGTATTTTGAAATACTAAATTAATGAAAAATGTGTGATTAAAAAATAAGAAAACTTTTGAATTTGCTTGTAATAATATTTTTAAAAGAAAATATATGGTTGAAAAGAATAGGTAGAAAAATATATTTTGAAAATAATAGGAATCAAACAAAGGCTAAAAAGTTTGCAAAAACACACTTATCATTCATCCTACCATCAAAATCAGAAATTCAAGCTTGACAATTCCAGTGTGTGTGTGTGTGTGTGAATGATTTATTAAGCATCAGTGCTCATTTTATATTAAGCACCAATGACGTGTTTTATGTATTCAAGCTTGGCATATCCATGCCAAAAAAAGCTAATCTCTCGAGATGACGTGACATTCAGATGTTTTTAATGCGGTTTTACATATATAAATCCAACTAGTGTGATCCTAGAGTTAGTGATAATCGATCCAAATTTTCCATTGGTGCTACTTGGTTATAGTAGCTGAATTTGTACATAAAAGGGAAAATAAGGATTTAACTGATGGCACATTTTGTCTACTCGAATCTATCCCATAATTCCATTAACGTCTCATCAACGAAGATGTCTAATCCATGCCTGAAACGAGAAAATAATTATAATGGCAGAAGGTCTTAAGTAGGTGGCTTGCTTTCAACCAACCGACAAAACTTAATTATGCACTTGTTTGTTTGATGCTGATTATTTGAAAATATTAATAATAAATTAATTAATTAATTAATATTTTTAATAGTAATTTTTAAGAGAATATGTAGTTAAAAATTAGAAAAAAAAATTTGAGTTTATGTACACAATATTTTAATGTGTAAATGTATGGTTAAAAATAAGTACGTAGAGAAAAAAGTTTCCAAATAATGATGGTGCTAAATGATAAGATTCCTGAGTAATATCTCATCAATCTAAAAATAAAAATAAAATAGATAAGAAATTGATAATGGATTGTAAATTAAAGGCCATTTTTCACAGATGTTGGCTTGGTATTGTGATTTTTACCAATGTTACCTTGTACCATATGACAAGTTAGTAATTAAAAGCGGACCACTATAATATATATTTTCTGTTTAAAAATGAAAAACCATTTAAAAATTAATTAAAATTTGTACAAATGATGTTTATACCTTTGTTAACAAATGATGATATGGCATGCATTTTGGCCATTTATTTCGATTCGAAATAAATAGCCAAAAATGCATGTCACCTCATCATCTGTCAAACTAACTATACATGTAGTAGATGATTTATATAATATGAAAATAAGGTGAGGAAATAATATTGAAGGTGACAAAAAGTATTTATGTAATACAAGATTATGGGCCTTTTGACATGGCTTCTAAAAAGTGAAAAGAGGATTTTGAGATCCAAAATTGTTTTTGGATTCGTTTTACTAATTTTATGAAAATGTTTTTCTAGTTAAAAGAGATTTTAGAGAAATCTGTTCCAATTTAATTTTCTCTAAAAGTACTTTCAAAATAAGTTATTTTAAAAACTAATTTTTAAATAAAAATTATGATAGCTTCGACTTGAAGCTCTTTTACAGGAACTAAAAACAAAATTAATATCAAATGGACCCTACGTGCTTCTACGGACAAATTAGATAGTCTAAATATAAAAACTAGTTATTTGGTTCACACTATTTAGCCCTATATGATGGTCATTATTGTATAAAAATGATGTTTTCGATAGTATTTTTATGAAAACGTGTGATTAATAGTAGAAAAAAGTTTTGAGTTTATGTGTAAATTTTTTTTTTTTTTTGTTTATAAATGTGTAATTAAAAATAAATATGAAACATTAATTGTTTAATTTAAAGGAAATCAAACAGCGGCTTAATAAAGCAACTTCTTTTCACATGACACCCTCTATCCATGTTACAAATTGCTTTTCAAGGCCATGAAACGACATTATAATCCTTGATAATAATGATAACCAAATTGATTATCTTTTACATATTGGTCATTGATAATAATGATTATAAATTTATAGTGACAATCAAATTGATTATCTTTTACCTAATGGTTCAGCGTCATAGAAAAATCAATTTTTTAGGCTACATGTAACAATAAAAAGTTAGAGAGAGAGAGAGATGTATTGATTTTTGCATCATGACTTTTCAGTTCGTAGAATGAAAGAGGCGATAAATGTTGACCTTTTTTTTTTTTCCCCCATCATTTTTCTAAAGGGGTGACGTGATCAATAGATCTTGAATTCTCTCACCCCAATAGCATTTGTTATTGGATAAGCTACAGGTCACATGTAATCTTCTCCAAAGTGTGAGGAGGCAATCACGTGCAATTAGACTATCAATCAGTCAATATGTATACGTGAAAGGGCATGAGAGTGCTAAAGACGTGAGCCACTAAGTGTTGAGAGATCGGATCCAAAAGGATATGAAATGCGTATATTGAGAGCAAACTTAGAACTTAAAGAGTCTAAAGTTACATTACATTTGAATAACACAATGTGTGAATTTTTATTATAGATGTGAGGTGCTTTTCGTTGAAAGACACATAATCTCATTCTGATTGTTTAGGTGTCAATTTATCAATCATAGGCTATGATGCATTTAATGTCTCTAAAAAATAGTCACTCTAGTACCTAAGTCTGACCCTGAATGTAGACTAATGATTTGAACTTTATAACAAGTCAGTAATTAAAAGTGAACAATTAGAATATATTTTTCCAATTTAACATAGAAAAAATCATTTAAAAAATATATTTACGAACTATATAGTACGAAAATAAGATGAGGAAATAAAAGTAAAGTGACAAAAAGTATTTAAGTAATAAGAGCAACAAGATTAAGTGCTTCTACGGACAAATATCGATAATCTGAATATAAGAACAAGTAATTTGGTTCTTACTAGCCAATAAAGCGACTTTTTGCCACGTGAAACACTTTTATTTATGTTCCAAATTGCTTTTTTCGGGCTATTAAGCAAAATTCTAAATTTATAATGATAACCAAATTGAATATCTTTTACCTAATCATCCAACCTTATTAGAAAAAATCAATTCTTAAGAATGTGTAATAATAAATAAGTGGAAATTACGAAAATAGTCAATTTTTGGCTTTGCATTTACAAAAATGTCACATTTTTTATGTCTTTGCAAAATTGTCAATTTTGAAAAATTTTGGACATTCTTGCCCATTTAGATAATTCAAATACCTTACATATCCTTCGTTAAAAAGAGAGAGTGTGGTGTGCATTATTCATTTTTGTCTCCTCGTTTTCACACCAATCCAGATTCACTATTGTTCATTAACAGGTTCACTATTGTTTACTAAATATCTCCCCTATAAAGGTACTTTTTGATCTCTTCTCTTTCTTCATACGTACTTGACGTTTGTATCTCCATTTCTATCGGACTCCAACATCGACTTTGGGTACGAGGACGAAGGGGATTTGGATTTCATCGAACTTCAACATACAGTCTGGGTATGAGGACGAAGGAGACGAAGACGATGAAGAAGAAGGATCCGTTGCGGTGGTCGGCAAGGTGGAGAAGAACCTGAAGCTCGACATCAGCGACCGCGAGGCCAAGGTCGATTTCGTAACCTTTCATTAGCGGTTCTTCGATATCAAAAAAAATTGTTGAACCCATTTTCCAGTGGCTTCTCTACTCTAATTGGGAACTCTCATTTCTTGGTTTCAGCAAATCTACATAAGTACCATACTTCACCCTTTTGACTACAGTCTTTACAGAAGGTGAGGCTCAGGGCACCTCAGCAACAGTGCCGACAGCAAAGAAAGAAAAGAATAAAAGAGAGAGCAACCATAGCTTTGTTCCTGAATCTAATGAAGACACGAGGGACATTCCCGGAAGCTGTGCTTCTTAAAGAAATGTTTTTCTTCTTCTAAGACCTTGACCACTACTTTTTTGGAGGTATTTATGATTTTATCTTCGAAAGTACTTCAATTACAAGTCTGATTATGAAGTTATGAGAGAGAGCTACAATATACAGTTTAAAATTAGTTCAATTTCAAGCCTCAAAAATTTGCTATAGAAATCATTTTGCATACTTTGGTCACTTAGAAAAATTTCGTTTGCCATAGACTTGTATTAATATTTTGCGTTGTGCCTTATCATTTATTCTTTAGCTACAGTAATCTTAGTTTATTGTGCCAAGACATGGATAAACTATAAAGTGGAAGTATGGAGGAGTATTTTGAAATTTATAGGTCTTTGTCCATTTCTTTAAGAAGGAATAAGGATGATACCAGTCACAATAGGTTCTTGTCATTTTGCAACGTGATTACTTTAAATATTGACCTCACATAATGAAATGGAGCAATGCTATGAGAAATCTATGTTTTGTGAAATATGTACTCAATTTGAAAGGCAAGTGCCAATGCTTGTTAGATCAACCTTTTTGTACTAAATTTTGTCTATGAAATGGCAATTATTCATAAGGCGAATAAAACTTTTAAGATGGATGTATGGCGATAAAAGAATGGATGAAATAAGAAATGAATACCCATAACAAATCGAGATGATTCGATTGAAGATAAACAGGAAAAAAATGATGACCTAAATTGTCAGACATGGACCGTGTATAATTGTTCACAAGAATCAATGAGGTCCCAAAAGAAAACATGTTAGAAGAGAAAGTTGTAAAACAAAAGTAAGTGATGTGATTAAAATATATAGTTTTATTAGGCCATTCAATAATAGTCTTAGATCAGATGGTGTGATGAAGAAAGACTTCAACCCCAAGTTACTAGGACTATTTTTAGAACTTATCCAAAAAGAAGTGCTTCTGGCAAGCATTTTACTGTTGAATATGAGAATAATAGGAACAGAAGAAGCTCTAACATCGTGGAAGTATTTCAGCCTCAAATCTTTGACTCCAGTGTTCCAAAGATTTTGTGTGAATGTGGATTTGGATTTTTATTTATGAGAGAATGCAGGTATGTTGGAAATATTCATAGCCAGGCACTAACCCACTTCATGAAGTTTTTGCTACTACTATTCATGTTCAAAGCTTCGAGCTTGTTAGAAAAGAAAAGGTCCAGTCTTTGTACCCTTTTTTTAATAGCCTTTGAGGCTAAAATTTTAACGGGATGCGATAATCATGTTAGTTTTGGGTTGTGAAAATTTTGATTGTCTTCTTGTATAGTAGCGGTTATTGTTCTTGAAAAATGGAAAACTTATATGTTATTTTGCAATACTTGATTGTTCATTGAAGGTCTAATTTTTATACCTTAAAGGAGTAATTCTTATATTTCACGTGATCCTATTCGATGGTTTCATTCCTATCGGATTCAAATAATGAATGCTGTTATAGTCTCTTTATGTTTAATGGAATATGTTTCATTATATATATATATATATATATATATATATATATATAAGTATTTTATTTTCGTTTTAATCATGTTAAACATTCACATACGAGAACAAAATATGGGGTTATGGAAGAATGAAATACTAAGCTCTACTATAGAAGCTCCAAGGTCTACCAGTTTTGTTAGCACACTTGTATTGGCAAAGAACAGGACAAAGAGGCCTACCATTCTTTCTGGTTTTCAAAAGTACAGAGGTGGATAAGATATTGCCAATAGACATTACCTGGCTGTACGCTCTATTCTTGTTGCCTTTACCATCATTTTTTTTTTTCTCATTTTGATTATATCTAATAAATGGATTGATGGCTCGTGGGATTTCCTGTAAGAAATTGATCTGCAGTTTCTTTTAACATAATGGATTGATGGCTCGTGGGATTTCCTAGGTACACTCAAAAATGAAGACAAGGGATCACTTTTACACAAATTGATTGTAAAGTTGTACAGAAATTGGACATTCATAACCTAAAGTATGTATATTTCATAAATTTCTCTTTTGGGTAATGTTCTGTTCCCTCAAGACAATTTTAACTCCAAATATTTCCTATTTTCAACTCATCTTTTTTACTACTTATATTTCGTGTTTGTTCGTTTGAGCAGTCAGAGAGGCAAACTATGACTTTGTAGGAAGAGGCCGTAGTGGACGAAGATATGATCATGGTCGTGGCCGTGGGTACAACAGAGATCCAACCAACAACGAGAATTTGCATGGAAATATGAAAATTTTAGGTGGTCAAGGTGCATTTGGATAAGTAGTGTATATTCTAGTCATTTGTAGGGATAAATTTGATTAACACAGAACCAAAATGTCCGCATGAACATGTCCCTAAGATGTAATCCGGGTAGTGTATTTTGTGTAATCCAGTCCGATCGAACTGTCGAGAATTACAGATTTCTATTTGTCGGGAATGACAAATTAACCGTTGGACTGTAGATCTATATTTTGTACCACGTTCAGCGGATGTTATGAAATGGTGTTTATCATTAGCTGAATTGACTCCACGGATTACGATGTTCCAAATTATGATAAATTTTGTGGGTATTGAAAATTACATTTTTAAATGGACAAACAGGGAAGTGGTTTCGCATCCTCCCTCAATGTATATTGAACGACCGTAGAGTATGATTGGCTAATTGTACGTTGTCAAAGATATTTTGACAAAACTTTTTACTTATTATTCTGAATAATGTAAGCGGATAATGTGTACGCAAATGCCGTTATTTGTGTTGATGTTAACAAATGGGGTTCATCATGTGCGTAATTTGGTGGACTAATTACAACATTGCAATTTACAATTCATTTGGCTGGGGATTGAAAATCGTATATGGAAGTCGTTTTGTCCCCTCTCCACTTCCATTCGTCATCCATGTGAGCAAAGCTCTCCCCATATAACATGATGAATCTCAAATCCTGAACCATACCTGAAATGTTGGGACACAAAAGTAAGAGTTCTGCACATTCATATGTCGAAAGATTTAATACCGTCAAATTGGTGCATTAGAATACTTTGATCCATGTAGTACCAAAAAGAGAGCTTTTCAGGTGTCAAAATCGACAATTGAATTATCTGTCCATCCCAACAGTTACTAAATGTCGAGTTCGACAGTTAAAATGTTTAACCCGACGGTTTCAACGAAATTGCTCAACAGTTGAACTATCATAATTTTCGGGGAAGCTAAAAATCATGTGTTTGACTGTTTGAAGAATTTATTGCAAAATATTAATGGTGATAATCAATTCTCAACTACAACATCCACTAATCTTCCCACATATATAAAAAAAGTATAACTCAATGCTTCATTAAATATGGAATCCTTTAGATTTTGTTGAGAATATTGATATTTTTTTCCTTTCTAAAAATACCAAAAATTAAACACATCAATGAATAAGAGATTAAAAATTGACAATTAATTATGACAATGTTCTATTGAACATTTAAAGTAGTCAAGTATGTCATGAAAATATTTCTTTCCTACTACCTCACCTTTGAGATTGATTAATAGCTTTCCTTGTTGCCTTGTTGATGATGGAAGAGAGATGAAGAAGAAGAAGAAACTATTTCAAGTCTTACGTGTGTGTGTGTGTGTGTATTTTCTATAGATTCCACCATTTTTTTAATCAAAAATTCATATTATACAATATAATATTCATTTCTTCAATGTTAACAATAAAGAAAAATAAATAATCACATCACACCATTAATTGCATTCAAATCAAGCATTTATTGCTCCTAAAAAGGTCTCAAAGGGTAAGATGGACATTTTATGGAGAAAAAGTGACATTTTTGGAAAAAAATTGTGCAAGGCAAATTTTTTTATGCATTTTCAAATTTAGTGACATTTATGTAAATTCCCCTAATAATAACAGGTTGACGAGAGAGAAGAATATATTGATTTTTTGTATGGTGACTTTATAGTTCGTAGAATGAAAGAGAAGAGATAGATATTACAGATGATTTGCTCTTCTTCTTCTTATTATTATTATTATTATTATTTTTTTGAAGTCTTTCAAAATTTTTGAATGAGTGAGAGACTTTTTATGAGAATTTATATTCGTAGTTAGCACGTGATGAATTTTATAGAAGATATTGACATTTTAAAATATTCCTTGACTAAATCTTAAGACTTTTAAACAAGTCTTGATTTAATAACCCAAATTTTTAAAGACTTTTAGAAAGTTGAAAAACCTAGACTTTTACGGAGTTCTAAAAAATACTGTTTATATATTTATATCTCTAGTACATGTTAATAACATAAAGTGGGAGTTTAAATTAAAACTTGAAAGAGTCCCGAAAGAGTGCTAAAAATCCTTAAACAACTGCATATATTGGTAAAGAAATCGTAGTCCACCTACGAAATATGTAAATAAGAAGTGGATAAAATCTTTTATTGAAAAATATATAAATATAAATGTTTAACAATATCAAAATTCATGTGGTCATATTTGTGACCTATAATTCAAATTAAATAGGTCATAGTCACATTTCACACAGTTACGTTATTCAAGTGGGTAATGCGATTTATAACGCTTACTGTAGTAGTCGCCTTACGTGGCACCCTACATAGCGATTTGTGATTTGATGTATTAATATGGTAATTTTTTATTGTATCATGCATCAAATCAGTAACTGCTACATATATGTCACGTAGGACGACTGCAATAGTGAGTGACTGCATATATCACTACTCTTATTCATGCATAAAATCCACAAATTGGGATCTCTTCATATTCCATCATATTTGTCTCCATAGATAATCTCTCTAGAAATTTAAATCCTTTACAAAGATTGATCAATTTACCCAAGCCATTGTAACCCATAGAATTATTTCCAAAATTCGGATATTCATCAATAGTTTGGCATGCTTAGGGTTTTATCGTCAATATAAAACCTTAATCAGAAGTCTAATTTAACCATATGCAACCAAATCGACAGTTTTACATACTTAAGGCTTCTACATATCGATGGTTCTGAGTTATATATACAAATTTTGATGTTTACTATTGTATCTATGTTTTTTTACGCACTGCGGGCTAGTACATAGTAAATCTATTTTTCTTTTTCTTTTTTTTATGTTGCTGGTGTCAATATTGGTCAACTTGTTTTTCCTTGTGATGTCTCACTGTGATGAATGGGTGCAATTTCTTTGTAGAACATGTTGGGTATCTTGATTTACTGGATCTCACTTAAATAAGGACACGGTGATTGCTTTGAATGGAAATTTAAGTAAACGGAACCTAAATGGTGGAAAAGTATGTGTTGTTTAATTAGAGAACTTGTATGAATGGTGTGATGAATCCCCCTCTGTATCTGAAATGAATGGAGTGAAAACGGATTCTATTTCTATGTGAAATACCCATAGAAAAAATACATAAAACTGAAACGGAGTTTGGACAATGCCAATAGTTATTTAAGGGAATTTGTTATAATTTTAGCGGCGCAGTTTTAATTAATTCTTTCCCGAACAGAATATAATGTCTATTTAATCATAATTATTCATATATTTTGATGTTGTCTGACTACATTGATCCATTTGTGCAGCCACGATTGTCGCATATTTGTGACAACGTATGTCAAGTTCATTATAAATGGTGAACTTGATGCAATGGGAGAGAAACTTGATCCAAAGGCATCTAGATTGAGTTTAGCCTACCAACTCTTCAAGCATAGCTGCGAGAAGTTGATTGAAGCATATGATACGAACTTCAACCTTGTGCCAAGTAGAGTTAGGCGTGACAAGAAGATGAAGGTGATCACAATTGAATAGAGATGTAGGAAAAGACTCGAGATTTCTGGATTTGTACGTATATTAATGAAAGTGGGGTAGTTTTTAGAAGTACTAAAATCTAGTTTGTTTTTAGGTTTACTGTCAATGGTGTATCTATGTTTTGGAGACATCCTTGATATGTTTAATCAAGATGCACAATAGTACAATGCTTTTGCTTATTTTGGCTTCCTTATAAATGAGCTTATACATATGACCTTAATTATTTATTGAGTTGCATCTTTCAATAGGATGTATGAATTTTTGTTCCTTATATGCCTCGGTTCATTGATTACATTCTTTCAGGCCAGCATAATTGGTTCCACCATTTTATCTAGCACATGTCAATCAACCATCAACTAAAAATACCTTTTTACATATTTGCATATGAACAATTGATATAGTAGAAGTGCAAAAGCTTAACATGAATCTATTGCTCAACAGTATATATCACCTCACCCTTCAATTTATGAATTTTCTCGTTTAAGCTTTTTATGTTCTTGTCTAATATAGATTGTGACAAGATTGCTACAACTATATGAGCCATGGTTCTTGTTCAGTCCTATATAATAAAGTAGAAGATTACAACAAAGCTAATGCAACTGGTTTGTCCTGCTGCCTATCAAACCCCCAAAAAAAAAAAAAAAAAAAAAAAAAAAAAACACCATAAATAGTAGTTGGCGTTACATGACAAGCTGTTATGTTTGATCGAACGGAGGTGTGATACATTGTCATCTAAAACAGAATAAATCGAACGGAGGTGGGATACATTGATAGCTAGATAATGGGTGCAAACAATGCATGAATAGATAAGTTATTCCCAAATATGTGGTTTACTCTATTAAAAAACAATGACATTACAAATTTGGAGTAACACAACTTTCAACAAATTCTTTCCACATTTGGCTATGCCATTATACGGTTAAGCTCATCACTATAGTCATCGTATACCCCCGGTAATATCTTAATGATTGAAATAAAATCATTTAATTTTGGAGTATTCGTTGAGATATCGAATAGTGGAAGTCTTGAATCAATGTATTAATGTGGATGCGCAAACATTTCTTTAGAACTAGCTAGCATATGCCCCGTTGGTCTAGAATGTACCATCTCAACCACATTGACACGAAATGCACATGAGGGAATACGTATATCCTAGTGCTTATGTTCCAAATAGGAATGCAAAGATCTGTCATTTGAAATCCTAATCAGGAGCATCTTTACTTCAGCAATGTACTCAATACTCAGACTTGAAACTTTCTTATCAAGCATTTGTTCACTCAAAATCATGTTAGGGAGCTTAACGTACTTGTAACCAAAGGGAGCAAGAAGGCCAAATGTAACTAAGCTATTTATAGCGAAGACGTTCACAACATCCATTCTTGTAATGCCATAAACTTTGTAAATTAATTCATCATTTCGTTAGCGAACGTGTAAGTATCAAAATTAGAGGACTTCAATATGTTGTTATTTGGAATATGAAATGTACATAGGACTATTACATATACAACATATTACAACTTCAACCACATAGTCATTCAAAACGAGATTATCCAAAATTGATGCAAATACAAGTTCAATTAGAATAACAAATAATTCAAACTCAAAAATCAGAAGTTGAAATGACGTCAATACTAATTCCTCTTCCTAATGATGAGACTGCCTAGAAACATACACACCCCACTGTTAATATATGTAATTCAATTTCCAATTATACTCATGCCACCATATTTTGGACACGAGACTAAAATACAGAAT